TTCCCTTTATTCATTTTCTTCTTTCACTTTGGGCTTTTCTTTTAAATATCTATCTCTACTTCATTATCTCTGTCTCTTTTTAATCTCTCTTTTCTGTGGGGATCTCAATTTGTCACTACCTACTCCTATCTAAGTGTCTACAGGAGTAGCTAATTCATTTCCCTGTGTATTTTTTATTTCTACCTTATCCTCTTCACCCAGTATCTTCTTGTTTTTGCTCCTTCTCTTCTCCTTCATTATCATTTTGCATCTTACCAAACCCCTTACTAAATCTTTGTTTTCATAGCCTTTCTTTCCTTCATTGTCTTTTTCTCTCCTCCGGTTTGTACACACACATCCTTGTTCTTCTCTATCATTTTCTTTTACCTCTATGTTTCACTCACATTTTTGCTTTGTCTGTATTTTTGTTGTCTACACATGCACACAGGAGTCAAAAGGGGTGGGGGAGGGAGGCATGAGGCTGGAGCAGCAATTTTCAACCTTTTCCATCTTATAGCACCCATAAACTAATTACTAAAATTCTGTGCACACCAAAAAACAACTTTCTCGCCTGACAAAAAATAGGTATAATTTTGATTGATTTACAAAAAAATATAATAGTAGTGACCAACGTTTTTGCACTACAGTGACTTTTTTAAAAGTCAGGTGCCTTGACTTGTATATAGGGCTTCCATTACCAAAAATTAACCAATCAGATGCAATCTTATTTTGAGATGTGACCAATTAAATGCATGTCTATTTTATGGCCTATATATTTATGGTTCAAGACAGGGCATTCACACCAGTTAGCTATTGTTGTGTTGGCTGTTGTCATTTGACAACAAAGGGGAAAGAGGTCAGTGCCACTAAATAGTCAAGTATGTATGTTTTAAAAATTCTTGCACCCATTGAAAAGTGCAGGGCTAGAGTTACCCACATGATGGATATGTGGCTTTTTACTTTGGATACCCATGGGAATTGACTGATTTATTTTCCTGGGATTGGGCCAGTGAATCCAATAAGCATCATGGGTTGAGATCCACTAGTTTAATGATGAAAGCCCTTGAAAGCCAGGATTAATCATATGTACTTCATGCAGTAATCAATACAAAAACAAAGGAGGTTTTGAAGATTATAGTGTAATAAGATCTTTGTGTGAGAGATCATCTGAAAACATTGAGAGCAACAGGACTTGTAAGCAGAGAAACTAATGTAAATTTATATATCTATCTTATTGAGCCTAATTCAAACAGCACTTTGCTAAACTTCCATTTGAAATCCACTTATTCTTTCCATAACCTCCTGCAAATGTTTATTTCTCTGCTGCACCTCTTATCAAATTCAAGCTCATATTTTAATCACTTGTACATTTGTATGCTTTTGCCTGGACTGCAAATATGTTGGTGGCAGCACTAGGGCACTTTCTCCACTATTTTCTTTAAAATTTTTTTTATTTTATTTTTTCCATTATCATTTATCCCTCTATACCCTCATACAGCCCCTACAATCACCACACTGTCACCCATGTCCATCAGTCCTTTATTTTTTGCTTGATTCCTCCACCCTATAGCCACACCCCCTCCCAGAGCTGTCAGTCCATTCTCTGAATCTGTCTGTTCTGCTTGTTAGTTCATTTGTTCACTAGATTCTGCAGATGAGTGAAATTATATAGTAATTGAATTTCACTCTGACTGGCTTATTTCAGTTAGCATAATGTTCTCCAGGTCTATCCATGCTGTCAAGAAAGGTAAAATTTTCCTTTTTGTGGCCAAATGGTATTCCATTATGTAAATGCCCCACAGTTGTTTCATCCACTCATCTACTGGACTGGCTGCTTCTGAATCTTGGCTATTGTAAATAATGCTGCAGTGAATATCGGGGTGCTTACATTTTTTCAAATTAGTGTTTCAGTTTTTCAGATAAATTCCCAGGAGTATAATTTCTGGGTTATAAGGCAGTTCCATTTTTAATTTTTTGAGGTGACTCCATAGTGCTTTCCACAGTGACTGACCCAGTCTGCATTCCCACCGACAGTGCAAAAGAGTTCCCCTTTCCTCCCCAGCACTTGATTTTGATTTATTGATGATAGCCATTCTGGAATGAGGTGATATCACACTGTGGTTTTAATTTGCATTTCTATGATGATTAGTGACACTGAGCATCTTTTCACATGTGTATTGACCATCTGTATGCACTCTTGGGAGAAATGCCTATTCAGATCCTTTACCCATTTTTTAATTGGATTTTTTTTTGGTGTTGAATTTTGTAAGTTCTTTATAAATGGTGGATATTAACCTCTTATCAGATGTATGGTTAAATACGTTCTCCCAGTGTGTTTTTTCATTTTGTTGATGGCTTCCTTTGCTGTGCAAAAACTTCTCAGTTTGGTGTAGTCTCATTTATTGTTTTGTTTCCCTTACTGGGGAGATATATCAGATAATATATTGCTACAATGTCCAAGATTTTACTGCCTGTGTATTCTTCTATGATTTTTATGGTTTCAGGTCTAACATGTAAGTTTTTAATCCATTTTGAACTTACTCTCATTTGTGGCATAATAAGGTGGTCTAGTTGCATTTTTGTGCATGTATCTGTCCAATTTTCCCAACATCATTTATTGAATAAACTATTGTTAGCCCATTGTATGTGCTTGCTTCCTCTGTCAAAAATTGACTATAAAGTTGTGGGTTTACTTCAGAGCTTTTTATTCTGATCCACTGATCTGTGTGTCTGTTTTTATACCAGTACCATGTGTTTTGATTATTATGGCCTTATAGTATAATTTGATATTAGGTAGCATGATTCCTCCAACTTTGTTCTTCTATCTCAAGATCAATGTTGCTATTCAGGGTATTTTGTGGTTCCATATAAATTTTGAAATATTTGTTCTAAGTCTCTGAAATGTATCATTGAAATATTGATAGGAATTATAGTGAAGCTATATTGCTTTGGGTAGCAAGGACATTTCAATGAGGTTGATTCTTCCTATCCATGAATACAGTATGTGCTTCCACTTATTTGTATCATCTTCAGTTTCTTTTTTACAGTGTCTCATAATTTTGTAAATATAGGTCTTTTACATCCTTGGTTAGATTTATTCATAAGTATTCTATTCTTTTTGAAACAATTGTAAATGGGATTGTTTTCTTAATTTCATCTTCTGATGGTTCATTATTATCATATAAAAATACAACTGTATTCTGCATATTATTTTTCATCCTGCTACTTTACTGAATTTACTTATAAGTCCAGCACTTTCTTGGTGGAATATTTAGGGTTCTGTATGTACAGTATCATGTCATCTGCAAATAATGACCCTTTTCACTTCTTGGTTTCCAATTTGGATGCCTTTTATTTCTTCTTCTTGTTTGATTGCAATGGATAGGACTTCCAGTACTATATTCAATATGAGAGGTGAAGGGGGACATCCTGTCTTGTTTCTGATGTTAAGGGGAATGCTTGTAGTTTTTTGCCTGTTATGTACAATGCTAGCAGTGGGTTTGTCCTATATGACTTTTACTATGTTTAAGTATGTTCTTTCCATTACCACTTTACTAGAGCTTTTATCATAAATGGGTACTAAATTTTATCACATTTTTTGCATCTATTAATATGATCACATGGTTTTCATACTTCATTTTGAAGTATGAAAATTGATTCTATCAATTCTTAGCTGAAATTCATCACCCACAGTTTATGGTGGTAATTGGGAGAGAAATTACACCCAATAAGATGCTCTGGCACAATTTCTGGCAAACACTCAATACATGTGACTTTTGCTTTTCTTCCTGTCTCAGGTCCAGTCTACAATGCAGCTATAACTACTCATCAAATATTTTGGCTTTATTGTCCTTGAACTACAGAACTATTGAGCTACATAGAGTTGCATATATATTGTGTAATTTTGTTTTTTTTAGCAATTTTCTAATTAATTTTTTACAGAGAGGGAGAGAGAGACATTGATTTGTTGTTCCATTTATTTATGCATTCATTAGTTGATTCTTTTATGTGCCCTGCCTGGGGATGAAACCTGCAACCATGGTGTATGGGAATGACGTGTTAACGAATGGTGCTACCTGGCCAGGGCAGTGATTTTATGTTCTGTTAGAAGAGTTGATAAAGTATTGGTATTATTCATATAAATTTTTAAAACAACACCAATTTTTTGTTTTATGTGATATAAAATATCTATAGTGGGAAAAATTTATTTTTTACACCATCAATGAAATATCAGATATATTCCTAATGTGAATGGTAGGTTAGAAGTGATAAAACTGCTTATTTCAAAAACACAATATTAACTCTGTCCCACTGTTGTTATTCTTTCATTAAACTCTATTTTAGTTTTCAGTCCTTCTTGTCCTTCAATAATCAGTAACCTTCTGGCAACTTACTCTGGTGATTAAAGTTGGAATCAAGGAGCTTCCTAGTTGGGAAAGTAGGAGCTTCTGCATTATTCAGTCTCTCATTCATTCTCTCCATCATTATGTTCTGCTTTTTTCTAATCTACAGCTTGTGTGACCAAACACAGCCCCATTTAAGGAATGTACCCATCTCAGTTTTCACGCTCATCCCAACACAAGCTAGTATCTCATCCTCAGATAATCCAACTAGCAACCAGCAGGATTCACAAGTGATGTTGTCTTGAAAACTTGTCCCACTTGTTTTCTGATGCAGTAAAACTACTGGGTTCAAAAGTGAAGCCAGTGACAGGGAGATGAAGCCAAAGCCAGTACCTCTAAGGAACTGTTTTGGAGTAAAACTTTAAGACCTTCCACTCAATTAAAATTAATAGGCCACTCTTTCTTCTTCTGCCTTCACTAGGAAAACACAAAAACAAATAAAATAGTATCTACTATGATCAACAGTACTTAATCACATGAAAATTTGTTTGTTTATTTTCTTGCCTTCCAAGAAAAATAGATATTTAAACACCAGCTCCTGATGGTACAATTAAAATTTACTTTTATAAACATAAAAATGAAGAAATGTCATTTGTAGTAAAAAACTCCGATTAAAAATTTTTATGTTTTACATTATTTAATTTCTACACAGCAACAGAGGTAAGAATTTTTTAAGTGTGATTTATATTACAAGAGAATCTTGTTTTCTTGAAAAGGGACCTTTTTAAAATTCTAAGAAGGTCAAAGTACTATAAAATAATCAAGGTCTGCCCATCGGTAAGTAAAACCCTTTAACTGTTATTGAAACATAAGTATAATTACACCCAGGAAGAAACTATTATCAGTAGAGAAAAGATGACTTAAGGACTCTTTTTGTTTTCTAAAGCTGATGGACATGAGTGAGCTCTGATATCATTGTGTTTAAAAGTGGCTTCATCCAGATCCAGCTGCACGCCGTTAACGTTCACTTCCATACAGCCATTATAAAAGGCATCCACTGGTGTCACATTGAGTGGAACAACTGGGAAAAAGAATATTAAAATATTAGCCCGAGACTTTTAGCATATTATTTGCTTAGTTACAGGAATTATTCAGACTTCTTGTTTCTAACCAAAAGTTAATAATGTAATTCGCTTTAGTAAATTTATATTAAAACACTCCTACGTGTATAAGGTACTGTATGTGGCACTGAATTCAGCACTTGAGTTGCTCTCATTTCATAAATGCAGTCAGTTCCACCCAAACCTAAGATAAACACACCTTAAAAAGAGAGAAATGAGCACATTCTTACTTATGATATTCTACTTCATTATTGTCTCTTTAAATTTGAGCAATAGTTTAAGCATTGTTAAATCACTTTTCAACTCTAAATTACAGCTACTTAGAAATCTTTTTTAAATGCCAAGATAAATATATTTGTTATTATTACTGGAATAAAAGCAAATGTCTGTATTTTCCAAAGAAATAGTTTCTTGCTGAGCATACAGGGAATTCACTTTTATGTAATATTTGGTTCTAAAAAATAACAATTTTCATGATGCTTCTGTGAATAGTTTAGGCCCTTGGGCCTTTTTACACTTTCATCAAACTTAATACTTAGGTAACACCCTCAGATTCCTAAGAACTATGGTTCATCTTAAAAACATCCAACCATCTGTGTGAGTGTGTGTGTGTATTTGGCATCTCTTCATGAATCTTAATTCCCAGTGAATATTCTCAGTCTTTCTTCTTCTTCTTCAGTACTTTATGCAAAAATATATAGTATATACTTTAAATTTTTCACCTCTAAATTGACAATACAGTGAATAAAGCCCATACTTTTCTGTGGGCTTATACCATGTATTAAGAAACCCTTTCAAGTCTGGCTGAGCACTATAGATTATGCCATTATTTGATTTTTAATTTATAACATGCAATTTAACATGCATATTTTGCATATCAATTATAATTTACCCATCCCACAGTTTATACTCTTAATATCTCAATTTTCAATTCCCCTTCATCTTTCCTCACTCTTTGCCTAAGCCCGTCTTGCCTGAAGTCAGGCTTCAGTGCTGTTGCCAAAGTCCTGGAACCACTGAAATTTTCATATTTTCACTTCTTTTGAACACTTTGGTTGTTCGTTTGATTTCTTAAAATTGCATTCAAATATTTGTGAATAAGATAATAGGTGGATGTCAAAGCAGAATTTTTTCATTTGAACTGTAATTATAATTCCTAATACTTCACCATGTTAACTTAACTAACTTCCTAATAATCAACCAACCTGCTTAATACTCTCTGTCTCCCTCTCAACTGTTAGAGCCTCTTTCCTCCTATTCCCCCAAAACCCAGATAAAAATTCCTTGTATGGGAAATGAAGACTCTGCTCAGTTCCAGTAATATGGTTACTACATGTCCAGATATCAAACTCAAAATTCTCCCCATAAGAATAACCTGCAAAGGTTTATGAAAATTCTTCTCACAAACTTTCTGCCTCAATTTTTTTGCCATTTAAAGTACAATATTTATGTCAATTTCATATTTTCCAATATTACGTTAAAGTGAACCTGCTTTTCCTCTAGTTTTCTCCATCTTGGTTTGAAATCTCTACCCATGCTACTGCTCATGCCAGATACCTAGGAGATCCCATACCTGCCTTTCAATCACTGAATCCCATTAATTTTGTTTTTCACATACATCTGCAATCATCTCAACTATCATCACCCTAGTTCAGCACCTTCTTCACCTGGAGACAATAACAGTACCCACCTCACAGGACTATTTTGAAAATTCAATGAGTGGATACATTTGAAGCACCCTGCTTCCCAGATTATTTATTATGCACCGGTGGATGGTAGTATAGTTGTTGCTGCTGTTATTAATACTGCTTCTTCATCTGGACTACTTCAGAGGCCCCCAAGTCATCTTGTCACTTCTGCCTCCCAGCTGTCCACCTCCATCCATTACACAGCATGATTTTTTTAAAAACTCCTATATTGATGATATACAACTTCCTTGTCTAAAGCTTTTTAGTTATTTCCATAGCTGTTAAAATAAGACTAGGGACCCTGAACCCCAGTTCAGGTCTAAACACCTCCCAAACCACCCCCAACCCCCACCCAGTTCAGAGCCTCACCCTGAACTGCCATTCATCCCCTTCCACCCCACGAAACATGCTTTCACCATTCTGATCTATATATTCCTCAAGTATGTCAACCCCTCCCCATTTTTCCCCACACAGAGACCTTTTTACTTGTGTAGTAATGCCAATCCCCACCCCTACCACCTGGTTAAATTCAATTAATCCTTCAAATATCTTAATCTTTTCTTCAGGGAGTTTGTTTCTGGCCCTCACAACCAGAACACTGCCCCATTTCAGGCTCTAGAAGCAACCCATATTTTTCCTTCACAGAAGCGATGGCAATTTTAATTTTTGAAAAAAATTTCCTAATTATGTGTTTAATGTCTGCCTCGGCCACTAGATTGTAAAAGCCATAACAGCGGGGACCACATCTATTTGTTTATGACTGCATTTCTAGTTCCTGGGCATAAGTTCCTAAGAAATATTGGGTGGGTGGTGGATGAACTGAAGAATAAACATTGAATTCACAAGACTATTGTAAGGATGAAATGGAATAATAAATTCTTTCTGGTGAGCATAGTCAAATGCAGCAAAATTTGGTTAGTTTCAGTTAATCGGTAAAAAAAAATTAAAAGTACCAATAAGTGCCAATACAAACACTCAGGAAAAGAATAATGGACACTGGAATTTTGTTTTTCCTTCTGATGCTCTTTGACTAAAATTATGTATTTAAAATACTTTCAATTTGATTAAAAATACTTTCAATTTGATTAAAATTAAAACTGATGGAAGCCCTGGCTGGAGTAGCTCAGTGGACTGAGCGTGGGCTGTGAACCAAAGTGTCACAGGTTCGATTCCCAGCCAGGGTACATGCCTGGGTTGCAGGCCATACCCAGCAACCGCACATTGATGTTTCTCTCTCTCTCTCTCTCTCTCTCTCTCTCTCTCTCTATCTCCCTCCCTTCCCTCTCTAAAAATAAATAAATAAAATCTTTTAAAAAAAGTGAAATTAAAAAAAAAGTAAAATTGATGGAAACATAAGCAGATACCTGGAAGGCCACCCAGGTAAGTGGTTACTGTTCCTTTCATGGCTTTGTCCAAGGTGTTAAATTGTCTTTGAAAATCTTCAGAGGAGATGGTACCACCTTCAAGTGGGGTTGACAGCTCCAGACTTTTTCTGTTGATTCTGAATTCCAGATGGGATTGTTGACTGGAACAAAGACTTACAGCCTCTATCCGAGCTACTACCACGTTTCCAACAGATACCAAGATATCCTGAGGAACAGGCAGACTCAGTATAAGCAAGTACTGATGGTAATGCCACTTAAGAGTGACTTAGTGTTTTTGAAATTTAAAAACTGAATTTCAATGAGAAAAAAATGTATGAGAGAGTCTCCAAGTTTAAATGGAAAAAATTACTAATTATTATAAAAACCATAATATTAGAATATACATTAGTGTTATAAACTTAAGGTTGAGCTAAATGTATGGTGGCTTCTGAAAATTCAATAAACAGCACAGTTGTGACACCAACAACAGGACCCTCAAGTAGGGTCTTAAGCAATACTTTCCTGTCTGTGAGTCTTCCTAACTTCAAAACTTAAATGAATCACTATTTGTTTGGAAAAATGACTTGAAAATTTTAAAGTGCTTTAGTAAGCATATGCCAGCCAGACTGAGAATTTTCATGCCACCCACGCAATACCATAGACTTGGGATGAAACGTATGAAGAAACTCAGAGACAGAAAACCAGGGATCGCCAGCAGGAAGCTACAGATAATTTATCAGAAGATTCTCAAAAGACAAAATGTATTCACTTTGCTGAACTTTTCAAACTACTGATACACAAAATTACTTAACTTGTTGAGAGTGATCTATGCATATAACTTACATAATACAGAGAGGAAATGTAAAACATAAGAGAAAATAAAACCAAAACTAGGAGATGCAGTGCTGCCATGCTTCCCAGATGGTAGAAAGGCAGTCTGAAGTGTTCACTTAGGAATCCAAGATACCTACGTTAAGTAAAGTCTATACATCTCAAATGCTGGTTATTCCAGAAAATCTGTTACTGTGTTATACACCTTGTATCTATGAAGTCATTAAGACTTGAAGATGGCCGGATGAGAAAATGTTCCCAAATGATCAGTAGCGTATGGAATAGTGTTATGAAACAATGTACACAGACCTTGAGAAAAAAATAGGACTTTCAAAAACAGGACCATGGACACAAACACAAAAAGATAAATATCAGAGACATGGCTGGCAAGAGTTAAGAACCTTCACTGAATGCCAGTACTGTTAAAGATGGAAATTTCATTTTGTTTTTATAAACAAAACAAACAAGCACATAAAAAGCTTAAATCCTGATGTAGTAAGCTCCTATGGTGGTAGATTGGAGATAATAACTCAGCAGGATCTTTTTAGGTTGCTTATGGTTAACAACCACAAACTCCTCCAAATCATCTTTTAAGTTACAGACAGTACCCTTTTTATTACTGCAGGCATTATTCAATTATATGTCTCTTTCTAAAAGCTACCAAGAGCATCCAAGTCCACCGTGGCACAAATGCAAGCTTCCTGCTGTAACCTGTTGGAATCCACTGTCAATAACACATGGACAGAGCTATTATCCTCTAACAGAAAGATGAATAATACAGATCTGGTAACTCTCATGTTTCCTTTGAAGAAACAGTTCTTCCTGTTCTTCCTCCTAATTTCAAATCAGAATTACCAGCAAGAAGCCAAGTGGACTGGTTTTAGTTTTCTCTAGTCTTTTCCAATTGACTCATGGGAGAAAAGATTAAGTGTGCCAGAAAGTACAAAATATTATAATTCAGCACTGAATATCTGAGAGCCAGATTGTAGTCAGACTCACTCCTATTGCGTTATTACAAACTAATTCCCATGATACCTCAAGGATTCTGAATAAGGGTGGATCCCTATGCACTCTGAGAAGGCACCAAGCGGCCTGTGTGTGAATCTGCCTCATCTTAACTATAGATGCCAGAAGCTTTTCAACTTCTCACCCTTACTTCCTGGTTTAGACCTGGAAATAAGCCAGTAAAAAAGTAACAGTAATGGACATAGTGAGTCCTTAATGACATGATAGAAAATGTAACAAATACTTTACGTCAGCTATCTCATTTAACCTTCATAATAGCACTTTGAGACAGCTACTGCTATAATATCCATTTTGACATATTAAAAAATGAAAACAAGGATCATGAAGGTTTAGAATAAAGTTACCTGAAGCTTTTCAGAGGAAGAGTCCACCAAGGACAAGGCAAAAGGCACTGTGTCACCAGAAACCAAGGCAAACATAACGCCAGTACCCGTAGATGGGCGAATATTCAAAGTCACATTTATTTGCCAAGCCTCGGGATTCAATACATCATCTGTGTGGACAATAAAACAAAATTGGAATCAAAGTATACCAGAAGGAATTATTACAATCTTATTACTACTCAAAGCCATTTTTGTGTAATACTACAGATTTTAGTTCTCCCTTCTCTATGATCTATATAGCCTAGGCAAAACAAACCAAAAGAAAAAAATCAATGCAGGCGAGTAACACATACATGTAGCCCCATCCTTCTGTTCTTCCTAGAATAGAATGCTGGACTATGGTATTTAGGATTATTGTGACTTTTCCCTCTTTGCTCTTTAATTGCTCTTCTTTCTGCTTTGCCTATTCACCAATGCTCAAATCTCAGAGTGCTTATATTTTAAAGTACATGTTTAGAAGGAAGTTCAACAAATTTATTACAATGTTTTTGAGGGAAAATTTCATTATGGCTGCCATCACGACCCTGCCACTTCTCATCCATAAAGGGGTCAGGGTAGAGCTATAGAAAGGAAAGATATGATTTATATGCATAGAGGAGTCCAGTAGTTTGATAGAAAAACACTCTTTAAGAAATACTTAAGTCAACGGCTAACTCTGACATTTGAATAGAAACTCTTCTCTGTGATTCTCTTGCCATAATACCTAACACCCTTTTTCTTAATGACCAGCTTAATTGTCTACTACACTAGAATGCAAGCTCTCTGAATGTCTCTACCATCACTTTGTTTTCACAGAAATCACTCAACAAACATTTGTTGAATTAATATGTTCCCAAAATAGATTCCTAAAAATGTTAATTTGCAATCTGAATGAAGCCTTCCTCATTTAATATGAAGTAATATATGACAGTAACTTAGGGGCTTTGAGAGGGTGAATGTGAGAAACAATTTTCCTTTGACAAGATGTTCTTCCTTTTAGCCACATCTAATGATGTTACTTTTTTTTCATTATAATCATCTAATTCCCACCCACAAGAAAGTATATATATTATGTATAATCATTCTGAAGTAAATTTAGTATAAGATATTAACAGAGTCAAACTGAAATGAATGTGCAAATGCACAGAAATTATGACGTAACATTAAATAGTAATTTAGAAGTAGGTCTCTTTCAAGTTATTTATAAAAAACTAATTAGTTATTAAAGTATTAGAATACAATGTAACTCTTACTTTCAGTTTTCCTGAGAGTTATTCTCCTTTCAACAAACTGTTGTGGGCCAATTATTTTCCTATATTCAGCCATTAACCCAATTTAAACATTTTAAAAAATCCTTCATTTACAGAATGAAGTAAAAGTAAAGGCACTGTATTAATTTGTGTTAGAAAAACAGAAAGTACTGGTATAAAGCTCTTCCTTAAAACTGTAGTAGGCCTTTTTTAGGCTACAAACACAGTTAATATATAATTTTTTCTTACAGCAGAGATATCAGACTAAGCTTACAACTCAAATTCTTAGTAGCTCAAATAATAAACTCCTAAAACAGAAAATGACAAAGATTTCAATAAAATAATTATTCAACTTCATTTGAAACTGGGATAACACTGTTTAAAACTACATATAATATTTAATTTTTCAAATCTCCAGTTGAAAAGAAATCTCAAGCATAAGCCTACTTATTCTGCTGGTAGAAGTATAAATTGATAAAACATCTTTGGAAGAGAGACTGATCAAACCATAAGAATTATATATTTGCATAACCTCTGAGAGACATAGATCTGAGAATCTCTCCTACAGGATTAATTAATAGGAGTACAAGGATGTATGTCCAATGATATTCAGGGAAGTGTTATTTGAAAAGGTAAAAAACCTGAATCCTGCTGATAAGTCACTTAGTCTGTAGAAAACTGGGAAGAACACTGCTCCCACCCTTACAACATCAAGAGCCCAGTTATCTGCATAATCACAACTTTTCTCAGACTGTCAAAGAGCTAGGATTGCAGAGTAACTAACTACAGAAACCTAAAGAAAGGTGCTTCCAAGGAGGGACAGGATGAGAGTACTCACCCATAGCAGACACTAGATACTATACAATTTGGTAGGAAGAATTTGGGTAAAATTTTAGCGACTTGCTGAAGTCCTAGTGGGAGCTGGTATGATATAGAAGCTCTGGGAACTGCAGACACAAGAGAAATGCATACCCATTCCCAGCCTTTCTACATGGACCTTCCTGGGTGCTCCAGAGAAGAACTGGCGGCAGACAAAGAGGAGCAGCAACCTGCAGGAAAGGCACAAAGTCCCACCCACATCCTTCTCTGTCACTTCTTCAAAACAAAAGCCTTAAAGCATGCGAGAAGGGTAGCAAACCTGCCATATTGGGACACATGGGAAGACCCATAGTACCTACAGATTAAGAAAAGGAAATAAGAAACAACAACAACAACAACAACAACAAAATAATCTACCAAGGAAAAGGAACAGAAGAACACCTTGAATCCTAACCAGCAGACATCTCCCCAACTGGTATGAGGGAGAGACAGACAATGAAGAGTCCACACCCTGAGACCGAGGAACATAACACTCACCTAAGACTGAATCTGTACCAGAGCAATAGAGAACATTCTCCCCACCAGTCCTCAACTCCCAAACCCCTCTAATATGCTAACAAATGTCAAAGAACAAGTAAGAACATTTTGCTGGGTGAGAAAGCCCATGGAGAGACCCTTTCTTAACACATATCATAAAGAGAATACCTGAACTTTAGTATGGATCAGCTATTAAGAAAAATCCTCTGGCAAAACATCTACTACCCTAAGCACAAGGTAATATTGAAAGAATTTGAAGACTAGTGGCAGAAGCAACAAGGCCTAAGCCATTAGACTCTTGACTACATTGATTCAACACACCGAGCACAAGCAAAGGTGTGCTCATTTTCAGATCTAAATAGTATCTACTCAGCATCTACACTTCTATATAAGATACCCACCTTTAGAACAGAAATTACGTGATACACAAGGAGGAAAGGAAAAAACCAACATTATAGTCAAGAGACAAAGCAATCAGCCTGATCAGGCTTAGATGTGACATAGCTGCTGGAACCATCAGACAGGGAACATTTTAAAATTTTGATTACTGTGTTGAAGGTTCAGGTGGAAAAGCTGGGCAACATGTATGAACAGTTAAGAAATTTCGTGAAAGAGGTGGAAATTTTAAGAAAAGATCACATGGAAATGCTAGAAATAAAGATGAATCCTTTTGATGCATTAATCAGTAGACTTAATACAACTGAGAAACTGCTGAACCTTCCATTGAATGTACCCAAAATTAATCAGGCTATGTGTCAATAATCTTTAAATAAAAACACATGCATACTCAACTATCCTCCCCTCAATATGCTGGGAAAATTTTATAAAACATATATAATAATATGAATAGGCCTAACATTGTGTCTGGTACAAAGTAGGTACTCCATGTTATTTACTGAAGGAATTGATGCTGTTTGTCAGTGAATAAATTTAGTCATTAATAAGAACAGAAAGACAAAACAGAAATCACTCACAGTAATCAATGTCAAATTGAGCAACTCCAGAACCAGGGTAATAGGAGCCCTTTTCCACAGTGATGAAACAATGTTTATTTTGTTTTTCTTGAATAACTTTCTCTACTCTTGAAGTTCCTTGATTCATCAAATTCCAGCCTCGTATACATCCATCTAGACGAGGATTAATCTAACAAAACAAAATACACAAGGAGTGCATTTTTAACTTCTAAGTCAGACTGATAATTGTTTAACTGATTATAGATACAGATTTTTGTTTAGAGGGAAAACCTTTTCTTGATGGCATTTTTAAATATTTTAAATGTTTTGAATTTTTTCTAAAATTTTATTTTCAAAATGTCCTTCAGGTGAACAGTCTTTCCCAGTAAAAGTAGTTTAGGCCATCACAGGCCTCCACTAAGGTCTTAATAACTTTTAAACCTCAAGCCCTACCTGCCTCTTGTACATCATTCAGGGGTAATTCTTCTGCTATCAGTTTCCAGATATGCTTCTAGCTGTGGCCCTGGGCTCTCTGCTGCTTTTTGTTTTTCTTTAATTGCATTTAAAACACAGCCTTGTCTTGCCACCAGACTCAAGTCATCTTCAGGAACTAAAGTGTTTTCACCCTTCAGCCTCCTTATGGCATTCCATCAGACTGAAGACAAGTAGTAATCATTTCATAAATAGTTGATTCTTTTTGAAGAATATATTTTACTGTTAAAATAGCTTGATTTTTCAATTTAAAAGGACAGGAATATTCACTCTGACATGGGTCCACTAATTCAGGTTCTATAGCATATCACAGAACTCATTTGAGCTAAGGTAACTGTGACCTGCCATGAGTGAAAGATGGATATAAAATAGTAGATATTTAAGTTATATCAGCAGGTGCAATTGGCAGATGAAATATTTAAAACTCTTCAAGGGCAGTGATTAGTCTTCTTCCTGAAAGCTATTCTACAGTTAGACAAATATCATATTCAAAAAATCATCTAGTATATCTAACTTCAATTTATGATAGGCTACAGTTATACTCCCAGTAAAGATTTATTAAAAATAAAAAAAAATTCCACATTATATGTCATTCTTATCTCCCAAATTTAAGTCCTAAAATAGACCTAAGAAAGCTCTTGGGCTGACTTTACAAAATAATGTATTTTTGGATTCAAACATATGTGTTTATATGTTTAATGCCTAAGTATGGACTATTGTGATGTCAGCAGTGGATTGAGCTTAAGAATTTAATTTTTTTACTTCTCCACAGGTAATACTGGAGGGTTAAATGGGCTCAAAAATACTACACTCATTTTCTTATTTCCTTAAATAATTTCAAGGGCCACTAATGTTATTTTTCCATGTTCAATTCAAGTTGTCATAGTTGGTATGTTCAATAAAATAACTTCTTTTGACTTTGGTAATACTTTTACACCTATTACAGTCGAAAGGACTTTATCCGCAATGAATGATATCAGCGTGGATCATTACCGGTTTAATGAGTGTATCCTCCACTTTCCGAGGCAATCCTGCAAAGTATACTTTGGTTTCTACAGATCCATTTGTAGACTCAAAAAGGCTTGTTGGTATATTTATATTCATTGTGGCTTCTTTAGCTATTTTCACACTAATACTCTTTTCTAATTCTTCCACAGAGACCTAAAATTACAAAGACAGAGATTATCAAACAATTAAACATTTCTGCATGTCACTTTAAATACTAAATTTGAAAAACTCTGTTATTGTTCCAGTCAATAATTTTCCAAAGTAATCATTTTAATGTAATTATTAATTTTTTCCAATCCATTTGAAATGTCAAATGATTATAAAGGCAATAAAAACGTGTTTTGGAGGACTAGTACTTGATTGAAAATTAAATGACTTTATATTTTAAACTTCATATTTTAAAGTTTAAAAAATCATCAATATTATTCTATTAAATTTAAACATCCTATTACATGTCCTTCAAGCCAGTATACCATAAAATAGCTTTTTAAAAAGTGAGTCACTCTACAAACCCTTAAAAACTTTTAAGTGCTCTTACTTGGCAATCGTCTGAGAGTGTACTATACAGAATCAATAATGTAAATTAATTTTTCATGTAAATTAAGAGAAATCAGTACATTCAGCATTCTGGTCATTATACACAAATTATATTTTATTTCCAAGTTCAAAAGTAATTGTGGTTATTAGAAAGCACAACACATGAAATTAAACTGTTTTTTCAAATTTTGAAAGTAGTCTGGGTCTCAAAATAAATATTGGTCATAATAGTAAGCAACAATAAAAAATCCTCCTATAAAGGCAATTCAAAGAACCATTGTTGCAATCTCATGTAAAACTGTAGAGCTCAATGTGCAAATTCTTCTCTTATTAATCACAGTGGAAGCCAAACAATAGGCATGTTAAAGCACCACTGCAAGAAGAGAAAAACTATTCTCTAAAGTAAAATAAATTTGGTGACATTTACAGATTTAGATGACGCACACTCTGTTCTTAATGTAGCCCTAATGACTATTCCATCTTTGAAAGACATCCCTAATAGCCACCAGGACCAAAGACTGCTTGGCTCTCCTACCTACTTACCATTCCTTCTTGTTCTCCTTGCTACATCCTCCTCTTCTCAACATCTATAAAAACCCCAGAGCTCCACCTCCAGACCTTTTCCCTTTAGCCATGCAAGTGTTTCTAGATGGGCACTCTATTGCCCCAGCCTAGGGCTCTTGGAAGATTTAGGGTGGGGTTACTCTTAGTGGTCACAATGAGTAGGAGGTGTGCTGACATTGTAACATAAAGGATAGTCATGCAAAATAAAAAATAAAATATCCAATATCCTGCAAATCTTCTGAATATCCCTACTGTATATTCATGATTATAATGATCTGAGTTTGTGTATATATAAGCACAAAATATTCACTGTACTATTTTAGCATTTACTGAATTTTTCAAGAATGTAATAGTCTTGTAAACCAAGAATGGATTAATTTTGCTTTGTTTAGATCTTCACCAAGAGGTTTCCACCCTTTTGAAAAATTACTATTACTGATGACAACCCCATTTATGCCCTTATGGTATTTTAGTTGCCAGTACAACAACCAGCATAAGTCTGCATTTGTAGCTTTCACATTATTCTATGTACGGGAGCAATATTTGACAAGTATTATACTTGTACTTGAATATTTATATATTGAATTATACATTATTTTCTTACAAAGTACTTTGCTTCATTTATATAATAATTAAAGTATTCTATTGATTTTGTATTAGGGATATGCGAAGCTTACATTATTAACACATTTCATTATAGGACAATAAAGGAACATTATAAATATTTTGGCATTGAATGAGAGAGTTTAGAACAGCAAGTTGACATACCCAATTTCATGGCCTTTACACCTCTCTTTATGCTGAATATTCAAAAGTTTATGTCTATCTTGAAGGCTTGAACTTAAAAATATATCCAGGATCTGATCACTTATCACCACTCACACCTTCAACACTACAACAAAAGTTGCCATCTTCACGCTACTGGATTATTGCAATGGTCTCCTCATCCCATGTCCTTTTCTACACTTACACTCTACTATCTACTTGTCACAAAGCCATGAGGTCCTCATCAGAATTATCTTTTAAGATGCAAATTAGATTATATCATGTCTCAAATCATCCAAAATCTTTCCAGTTAGCATTAAAACCTAAGTGTTCAGTATGTTCCTCAAAGCCCTACACCACGTTATTCCAGGTTATATTTCTGACCTCATTTTCTACTACTCTCTTCCTATCTCCCTCCCCTGCATCTACACTGACCTTTGTGTTATTCCTCAAATGCAACGAACACTTCCTCTTGCTGTTCATGTGGCATAGAATCATCTTCCCCCATATATTTCTCATGACTTGTGCCCTCAAGTCTCTGGTCTGATGTAATCTCATCAGAGGGCTTTCCTGATTCCATATGCACACTCACCATCATCACTCTCTATTGCCTGGCCTTTTCTTTTTCCTCATGACATTCATCACTATCTGACATATCTATTTGTCCATGTATTTCAGGTTTTCGTCTCACCAACAGAATGAAAGCTCCGTAAGAGCAGTGACTTTGTTTTATTTACTATTGTATTCTCATCACTTAGAAGAAGGAATAGCACATAAAGTGCTCGATAATCATTTTGCTGAATGAATGAAATTATGATAGAAATTATATATTTCCCACCAATACTAGGATTAAACCTAAATAGGAGATATAAATCACTTATAAAGAATCATTATTTCTATGGATTATAGCCATGCTAACTACTTAATAATTACATATTCTATTCAATTTATCTGAATTATAAAACAATCAAAAGTTATATATTTTAATTTTCATTTATTTTTAAAGTATTTTATTTAAAATTTTTAAACAATTTAAAATTAGTAAAACAACTGCTATATAGTAAATAGTCCACCTGACAGAGTGATTAACTTAACAACTTTGCTGATTAAAATGCTACTTAGACTTCCAGTCAAGATGGAGTCACAGGTAAACACTTCGCCTCCTCGCACAATTAGAGCACAAATTACAACTAGACTACAAAACAAATAACACCCAGGTTTATCAGAAAATTGAGCTGTATGGAAGTTTGACAACCAAGGATTTAAAGAAGCAATATTCATCCAGATGGGTAGGAGGGGCAGAAACAAAAAGAGGTGTGGAGAGGTGGAGATGTGCAGAGAAATGAGGAGACTTAAGTAGCTGGAGAGGTGGCAGAATGGGCAGTCCCACATTGATGTGTAGTGGATAAAAATTGGGAGGGATACCTTGGGAGCAAGGGATCTCAGCCCCACCCAAGACCACCCAACTCAGGGTTCCAGCACCAGAAAGATAACTCTCCATAACTTCTGCCTGTAAAAACCAGTAAAGGTTGGGACAGTGGAAGAAACTGCAGGATTCTCAGGAGACTCCTCTTAAAGGGTCCCCAAAGGACACAGGACTTACACAGACCCATTCTCTCTGGAATTTAGCACCAGGGTAACAGCTGGAAGGGCACCAGTGACATATGGGGAGAAAGTAAAGTGACTGGCAACAGGGCAAGTGCTAGGAGACAACTTCCTCCCCAGCAAATCTCAAGAGGCCAGGCAGTGGCACTAACCCTTGGGCCTTCCCCCACACAGAGCTATGAAGCAGTGAAATGAGTTGCCCCTCCTGGGTGATTACCTAAGCCTCCACCCCACACAATTTACAGGTGCCTTTTCTACAACAGGCCACACTACTAAGACAGGGAATCAAGCAGCTCTACCTAATACACAGAAACAAACACAGGGAGGCTCTCAAATTAAGGAGACAAATAAATATGACCCAAATGAAAGAACAGAACTCCAGAAAGAGAACTAAACAAAATGGATAAAAGAAACCTATCAGATGCAGAGTTCAAAACACTGGTTATCAGAATGCTCAAAGAATACATTGGGTATTGCAGCAGCATAAGAAAGGTCCAGGCAGAAATGAAGGTTGCCTTAAGTGAAATAAAGAAAAATCTACAGGGAACCATCAGTGGAAGAGATGAAGCTGAGAGTCAAATCAACAATTTGGAACATAAGGAAGAAAGAAAGCACTTAATCAGAACAGCAAGAAGAAAAGAGAATTAAAAAAAATAAGGATAGAATAAGACAATGCCAACTTACCAATATCTTAATCATAGGGGTGCCAGAAGAAGAGGAAGAGCAAGAAATTGAAAACTTACTTGAAAAAATAATGAAAGAAAACTTCCCTAATTTGGTGAAAGAAATAGACATACAAGTCCAGGAAGCATAGAGAATCCCGAACAAGTTGGACCAAAGAGGACCATCCCAAGATCCATCATTAATTAAAATGCCAAATGTTAAAGATAAAAAGAAAATCTTAAAAGCAGCCAGAGCAAAGCAGATAGTTACCTATAAAGGGGTTCCCATAAGACTGTTAGCCATCTTTAAAAGAAACTTTGAAGTTTAGATGGGAATGGCTTGAAGTATTCCAAGTGATGAAAAGCAAGGACCTATAACCAAGATTATTCTATCCAGCAAAGCTATCATTTAGAATGGAAAGTCATATAAAGTGTTTCCCAGACAAGGCAAAGCTAAAGGACTTCATCATCACCAAGCCATTATTATATGAAATGTTAAAGGGAACTATATAAGAAAAAGAGGATCAAACCTATGAACATTAAAGTGGCAACAAATTCACAACTATCAACAACTGAATCTAAAAAGCAAACTAAGCAAACAAGCAGAACAGGACTGAACTACAGGTATAGAGAACATCTGGAGAATTATCAGTTAGGAGGGTGAAGGGGGAGAAAGGGGGAAAAGGTGCAGAGATTAAGAAGTACACGTTGGTAGGTACAAAATAGTGAGATGTTAAGAACAGTATAGGAAATGGAGGAGCCAAAGAACTTAATATGCCTGACCCATGGACACGAACTAAGGAGTGGGGATTGCTGGAGGGTATGGGGGTACTTGGTGGAATGGGGCAAAGAGAGAAAAATTGGGACAATTGTAATAGCATAATCAATAAAATATATTTTTGAAAAAAGAAAATAAAATGCTACTTAAAATATTTACTTCAAGTAACTTCTATGCTGCATAAATTTGTTTGAAGCATTCTATTTACTAATAAACCTTCAAAATTACAAGCTGATAAAATATCATGTGGTAATTTTTTAAAACAAAAGATATGAAGTAGGAAAAGAAATCCTACTTATATGAGGAGGAATTCATAAATTTTTCAAATATTGAATTAAGAATTTAAGAAAAACCACCAGTACCATATTTATTACCAGATTAACATTTTTCCATGACTTGTTTATTTGTCCTAAATTTTGTTTTTGTATAAAATGCATTCCGTTTAAAAAGGGAGATTTTAACTAATTTTTTTAATGCTCACCCAAGGACATTTTTTTTTCACTGGTTTTAGAGAGAGAGAAATGTCAGTTGGTTGCCTCCCGCAAGCTCCTGGACAGGGGACCATACACACTGGACCAGGGATCAGGGGTTGAACCTGCAATCTAGGTATGTCCCCTGACCAGGAATCAAACCCCCAACCTTTCAGTTACATGATGACGCTCCAACCAACTGAGTCACACCAGTCAGATCTTAACTAAAATGTTTTCATTGAAATGTGGCTATACAGTAAATAGTTTCTTTCAAACAAGGATCATAAACATAGGAGACAAAAATGTATGGAACTGAATTTCTGCCTTCCATCCAACCCTATATCCTGCCTTTAACAGTATGATTCACAGACAATTCTTTAATGAACATGATCTGCAACTCATGATTGTTAATCTCATAGTTAAACATTTGCCTTCTTCATGATCCATAATAAAACCTAATTAGGCATTTATCAAAATTCTACTTCAATCAACTTTTTTCTATTTGTATAAACTCATTGGGGGGGGGGAATGCTCCCTTTTGCTGAAAAAGTGATCTTAGTGATTTTCCATACATTATTTTGGGACATTAGGCAATCCCTTATCCAAGAAAATCTCCATTTTAATCCAGTTTATTAAAAGGATGTTACTGATCATTAAAATAAAGGCCTATTCTTCGGGATTATCTAAAATGCTAATTTCTAGGCACTCTAATCGCTACTGGCAAATGTAAACTGCACAGATTGATTACCTATATGCTAATATTTAAAATTGAATTAACTTTTATTTTGCTTTTATGTGTAATTCTCTTTCATTGAAAAAAAAAATTGGTGGCTACCCAGTATAGCTGTCCTTGATCAGTGGTGTTTTTGCATAAACTATTATGTCAGCTAATAATCCACGACCTATAGGAGAGACACCACTGTTCACCCAGCAATAGCCACTAAAAAGGGTAAGAAGTTAGCTCTGGCCAGTGTGGCTTGGTTGGTTGGAGCATCGACCAATAGCTGAAAGGTCGTGAGTTCAATTCCCAGTCAGGGCACATGTCTGGGTTGCATGTTGAATACTCAGTCCCAGCACCTAAGATCCCCAGTCCTGATGTGTACAGGAGAAGCAACCAATCAATGCTTCTCTTTAGCTTCAATGTTTCTATTTCTTGCTTCTCCTTTCCCTTCCTCTCTCTAGGGACAATGAAAAATGTCCTCAAGTGATGATTAAAAAAAGGGTAAGAAGTTTAAGATAGACTAGGTCAAGCAAATAACTGAAAACAACTTCAGTCAGGAGAAAACCTTAATACATTAAGTGAAGTTATCATTCTTCAGGCCATTTCATGGATTTGTAGTGCACAGAATATATTTCATATAACATCAGATTAAACACAACCCCATCTAGGTTCAGCATCACTATAAAAAATTAAGTATAAATGACTTATACAAACTATGTCAAAGTGGAAAGATTCTTTATAAAATCTGCACAACATACCATATTCCACACACCATTATTAATAACTTGGCCTCCAGTTGTGATCTGGGTTGTATGTTTATTCTTAACCTGAATTTCAAGCTTTCCATCACGAACTGCAATCAGGAACCAAGCCGAGTGGTCAACAGATTCTGCGTAAAGTATAACACCTTCTGAATCATATGTCCGGAAATCAAATGTGGCTGAAAATCTAAACAATAGACAAAGAGAGAGTCTTAATAGTGTGAATATGGAAGGCTCAATGTATTATTCCGTTTTTCTTGTACTGGCAAAAAACCAATATGTTGAAAGAGTGAACTATTTCTGTCCCTGGGATTAATAAAAGACAAGGGCAGAATTAGACTGTTGCTGTATTATATCTGGTTCCATGTGTGTTAAAATTAAGTTATTACACTTCTTTGCTTATTCTTGGAGTTTTTCATTCCAGGGAACAGATGGTAATTTCTCATCATCTTTGGTAATTTCTCATCATTTTTTGGCACTTGTTTTGGAGGCACTCTTTCAAATGTTCGAATTAATATGCATGTACCAATTTTAGCCATATTGTATCCCTCCTAGGATCTTTTATACACTATATAATTTGGTTAAGATTTTTTTTTGCTGAATCTGTAAGTGATTAGTAAAAGATATTACAATTTCATTATTGGTTTATCCATCAAAAAGCATATTTTCCTTATGATTTCATATATGTCAGGAAGAAATCACTCAAGAGATACATAAAATAGCATCTGGATGACTGCAAACACAGTTAAGCCTCCATGTGTGGTTAAAAAGGTAAAGTCAAAAAAATGTATCTGTTAGCTTGATTGCAAAAAGATCTTCAAAACTCTAATGCATAAATCATTCATACTAGAATACATGGAAATAGAGCTTAAAAGATATAGTCTAATACTAACAAACCAAATTCAACCATACATTAAAAGGATTATATACCATAATCAAGTGGGATTTATTCCAGGAACACAAGGATGATCCAATATCCACAAATCAATCAACTGGATATACCATATTAACAAAATGAAGAATAAAAATCATACATCATCCCAATACATGCAGAAAAAATATTTACTAAAACTCAACATCCATTTACGATAAAAAATCTCAATAAAGTGGGTATAAAGGGAATGTACCTCAACATAATAAAGGCCATATGACAGACCAACAGCTAACAACATAGTCGGGAAAAAAAGTGAAAGCTTTTCCTCTAAGAGCAGGAAGAAGACAAGGAGCAGGACAAGACAAGACAAGTGGCTTTCTCTTGCCACTTTTATTCAATAAACTGTTGGAAGTCCTAGCCACAGAAATTAGGCTAGAGAAAGAAATAACAGGCATCCAGACCAGAGAGGAAGGAGTGAGAACCATGATTTGCAGATGACATAACACATGTAGAAAACCCTTTACACTCCACCAAAAATCTGTTATAATAGATGAATTCGCACTGGCTGGCGTAGCTCAGTGGATTGAGCGTGGGCTGAGAACCAGGCATCGCAGGTTCGGTTCCCAGTCAGGGCGCATGCCTGGGTTGCAGGCCACGGCCTCCAGCAACTGCACATTGATGTTTCTCTCTCTCTCTTTCTCCTTCCCTTCCCTCTCTAAAAATAAATAAATAAAATCTTAAAAAAATGAATTCAACACAGTTGCAGAATACAAAATCAATGTACAGAAATCTGTTGTGTTTTTATCCACTAATAACGAACTATCAGAGAGAGAAATTAAGAAATCAATCCCATTTACAATGGCATCAAAAAGAATAATGCCAAGTAATTAATTTATCCAAGGAAGTGAAATACCTACGCACTGAAAACTGTAAGACACTGATAAAAACAACAAAAACTGAAGAAAATACAAATAAATGGGAAAATATTTTGTGCTCATGAATTGTTAGAATTAATATTGTTAAAATATTCATACTACCCAAAGCAATCTACAGATTCAGTGCACTTCCTATCAAAATCCCAATGGCCCCACCCTCCAGCCGCCTGCCCTCATTGCCACTAATGTGTGGCAGGCCCCTCCCTTGCAGGCCCCAGGATGGGCACAGCCTCCACTTCTGTGACTAGTTCTTCTCTCCTTCCTTTCTCCTGGTCACTTTTCCAGTCTCACTGGGTCTGGTTTTCTGTATTCTTTCCTCTCTTTCTCCACCCACCTTTGTCTCTCAGTGTCTCTCTGTGCCTATCTCTGTCTAACCTTCCCAGCCCCATGTGTGTTCTTTCTCTCTTTTTCTGTCTCTGGTTCTTCCCATTTCTCCCCTCTCCTTCTCCCTCTCCCTTGTCTGTTTTCTGTCCTTGGCTTGCCCTCTCTCTCTCTCTCTCCATGGCTCCCTATGCTCCCTCCCCCTAGAACTCTCTTGTCTATCTCCCATCCGGTAGACCACACTCCTTTCCATCTCCATCTGTCCCCCTTCTTACCCCCTCTGCCTTCCTGGTCCATAGTCCTCCCTCTCCCTATCCCACAGAGTTTCTCCCCATTCATCCCCTTTTGCAGGGCACTGTCCAGGCCTTAGACCCCAGGCCTGGGCACCCCCAGGGCCAGCTGGGCAGGGGGCACCAATCCATGGTCCCCATGATCTGTCCCCTCAAACAACCTCATAAAAAATTCCAAAGGCATTTTTTGTGGAACTAGAATAAATAATGCTAAAATTTGTATGGAACCATAGAAGATCCCAAGTAGCTAAGGCCGGAGGTATCACACTTCCTGATTTCAAACTATACTGCAAAGCTATAGTAATCAGAATGGCATCAGAATGGCATCAAAATGGCAAAAGAAATTGACACATCAATGGAACAGATTGACAGCCCAGAAATAAAACCACACATATATCGGCAATCAATTCATGGCAAATGAGTCAAGAACATACAAAGTAGAAAGAACAGTCTCTTCAATAAATAATGCTGGGAAAACTGGACAGCCCTTACAAAAGAATGAAACTAGACCACTATCTCACATCATATACAAAAATTAACTCAAGATGGATTAAAGATTTGACGATAAGACCTGAAATCATAAAATACATAGAAAACAGGATGTTAGCTCCTTGACATGTGTCTTCACAAGCTTTTCGTGGATCTGACTCTAAAGGAAAGGAAAACAAAAATACAAATAAAAATATGGAACTACATCAAATTATAAAGCTTCTACACAGCAAAGGAAGCAATCATCAAAATGAAAAGGCAACCTATCAAACTAGAGAAGATATGTGCAAACCATACATGCAACAAAGAATTAATATCTAAAATATACAAAGAACTCACACAACTCAACAACAATAGTTTAAAAATGAGCAGAAAATCTGAATAGGTGTTTTTCCAAAGAAGGCATACAGATAGCCAACAAGCACACGAAAAGATGCTCAACTTCACTAATAATTAGAATAATGCAAATCGAATCTATAATGAGATATAACCTCAGACCTGTTAGAATACTTATTATCAAAAAGACAGGAAAGAACAAATGTTGGATAAGATATGGAGAAAAGGGAATCCTCATACACGGTTGATAGTAAAGTAAATTGGTGGACCACTGTGGAAAACAGTATAGAGATTCCTCAAAAAATTAAGAATAGAACTACCATATAATCCAGATTTCCACTGCTGGGTATTTATTCAAAGAATATAAAACATTAATTTGAAAAGATAATGCACCTCTATGTTCCATGTAGGATTATTTACAATAGCCAAAATATAAAAAACAACGTAAGTGTGTGATGGATGAAGAAGATGTGGTATATACACACACATGAACACACAGGACTACTACTCAGCCATAAAAGGAATGAAATCTTGTGATTTGAGATAAAAAGAATAGAGTGAAATAAATCAGATAGAGAAGGACTAATACTGTATGAATTTAAAACAAACAAACAAAACAAATTCATAGATACAGAGAATAGGTTGGTAGTACCAGAGGGGAAGGGAGTTTGGGGGTAGGTGAGAATGGTGAAAGGGGTCAATTGTATGGTGAAGCACAGAAACTAGACTTCTGGGGGTGATCACTCAGTAGCATAAACATATTATCAAATTATAATGTACATCTGAAACTTATATATGAAGGAAAGACCCCCCCCAAATGGAATTATCTTCTAGAGGGTGAGCCCCTTGTAGTATAGGCTTCTCTTGCTAGGTGAGTGTTCTAGAAACCCATCTGTTATCAGCTAGCATTGTGAGAAACTGCCTTCAGCTTCAGTGAATTTTTTTTGAAGACTCAACACTTGGCCCACTTCATGATGGGTGATTTAGGAGTGCACCTTCCCACACTGCACTGAGTGTTCAGCAGTTTTTGATCAAAAATGGCATGATCCCTATGTCCTCCACACCTATTCATAGGGTCTCTCTGAGAGAGACAGACTTTTTTTGTTTCCCCACATGAGAAAAGGGGTTAAAGGGAAATGTTTGCTGATGTGGAAGAGGAAGAAGCACTAAAAGGCATCAAAATTTACAAGTTCAAAAACTGTTTTGAGCAGCGGAAAAAATATCTCGATAGGTATATTACATCAAATGGAGGGTACTTTGAAGGTGACTAAAGTTTAACATGTAAGAATAAATACACAATTTTTTATAAATAAATTTCAGGTTTTTGCTCCCCGCCCCATTGTTGTTATATACTGATTTTATCTTTAAAAAAAAGAAAAAGAAAGAAATAGTCTAGCCATGTGTTTTGGGCTATTAGAGTTCTGGCAATGCCTGAACTCTAATGTCTGAACTCAGAGTGCTATTAACGCTCTGGACATAGATGTAGTTATTACAAGGGAAAAAAATCTAAAGGATGCTATATTTTAAACTAACATGTATTGATTCAGTGACAATTGGACATTTTAATGAGAATCAGCAATAAATTATCAAAGGGACCAGCAAATCAAAATGATCAAAAAAAGACAAGGAATACAAAAGTATAACTATTAGTCATTTGAGTTCGATTAACACGAAGATAATTTAAGTTAAAAAGTTAGGACTTTTGCTAAATACAACAAGGAACCCCACATCTTATCCCTAAGTATAACAGTAATAACAGGGGTACCATTTGCAATGCAGCACCAATCTACCTCAAATGGAACAAAGAAAAGGTGACAGAATAATCTTTTTAATCTTAGAATTCTCCAGAAATATTCTAAAGAGGTAAATGTGAAGTAAAGTGTGGTAAATGGATAACAATGTAGTAGAAATATACTGAACTCAGATTATTTTATAAGAAAAGTAATTTTTGTAGAAAAAGTACTTCTTTTTCATAATCATCCTATTTTGCTGATGCAAAGCATGTGGTATCTTGCCAAAACCTAAATCTTTGTATGCTCAGAATCTTCCTTAATAATTCTATTATGGAGATAATTTCTGTCTCTTTGTAAAATCATGCTGAACCAGTAATTCAGAGTCCTGTTCTGTGTTATTTTCTTTCTGAAATACATCAACATACTGATTAATGAATCACTGGGGAACAATTCACTATTTCTTCATAAGTACTGTAGAGTAAAAAAAAGAGTGAATTTGTTAACTTTTGGGTAGAGTATTTGATCATGGAAAACAACTGAAGGAATTTGCAAAAATAAAAAAAAAATTTAAAAAGCACTAGCAGTTCTTTTCATTGGTTACACAGGTGGCAGTTCATAAATATTTATCAAGCTGTACATTTAGGACGTGTACATTTCTGTATATATTATACCTCAATGAAAAGCTTAAACTAAGAAATTAACTAAGTAAATAAATAAAACTGGGGAAAATAATTATTTGGCCAATTTGATCCAATGTTAGACTCTAAGCTACTGTGAATTGTCTCTGAGAAATGAATACCCCTGAACATGCCTAGAAGTATTCAATAGTTATTTTTTCCTCTCCCATTTTCATTATTCACTTGGCACAGAACAGTCATCTCCAATCTATCACTATATGATATTATCTGTTCTGAGATGTTAAAGGGGAAAACCAGGTTGTAGCAGAAAATAAAGTGTTGAAGAAACACAATTAGATCAGTGAATCTTAGAATAAATTTCAATGACTCTTAGTGCTACGATTTCTTTGATTCACATTTAATGAAAAAATGTGCATTGCTCATGCACATAATGAATTAAATTCTAAATATGGCTGCTAATTAAAGTATTTTAAAATTTGGACCCTACAACCACTCTCAAACATGTTTCCTTTACATTATTCCAGCTCCAAATTCTTTTTTCAGATAATGTATGACTCTGAGAAAATTTGATAATTAAAGCAGAATCATGACTCAAAAACATAAGCAACTACTTCCTCCCTAGCATCACCCTAACTACAGAACAGAAGATAGAGTACTCAGAGAGTCTATTAAAACCATGCGGTTCATTTCTTTAATTGCACTTAAGCAATCTTATGAATTTTCCTTAATAAGTATGAACATAATCATATTTAAAAGCAATACTTTTGAGTCTTTTCTCATTACTTAGTTTTTAAAACATATATAAAAAACAATAGAAGTTTTACACATACGCTAAATCTGCTTTCCCAGCTTCTTAGTAAATGTGTATTCACTAAAAAAGGAAGGATGAGGGAATAAGGGAAATATGGTCACTGGGGAAAGCCCGCCTAGAATGACCCAAATTGTTTCTGGCATGAAAATTACACATATGAAGGAATGAATTAACTTTATGGATTTCCATATCATCTGATTGATCATATACCAAAACTTCTGATTTATAATGCAACTTCATACAATTCAAACTTTTTTTTAAGTCACTTCCTTCTTCTGTCCTGACCTGCTTACCTCTAGAAATTGTCATTGACATTGGTACCTCACCTGATGACATCCGGTAAGCGAAATTTTAGATATAAAACAACCCCTGCAAACTGCTGTGCCAAGTAAAGTAGTTCATAATTTTTGTCAAGGTCCAAGGGAAGGCATACTGGAACAGTCTGGAGGAAAGAAAAGAAAACACACAAACAAAATGCATAATTTACTGCTTGATGTTTTTGTCAGATGACACATTGTTTCTTTGGTTGCTAGAGTTCTTGTCAAATGTGTCCTCTATGATACACTAAAATAAATTTAAAATACCTTGGTAATAATAAAGCACTATCTTTTACTTTCTTGTAGAGTCCATCAGTATAATCTCCAAGCACATGTGTGTTTTAAAAATCTTGTTGAATGTGTGTGGCTTCATATTTTTGTCTTTGATATTTCTTTTGTAAATCACAATCCAAAACACAGACTTTTTCTCTTGGTAACAATAGGTAACACCTTATTTCACTGATACAAGTATCAGACCTTCCATGAATTATTTCTGAAAATTATTTTTATTTGGAATCATAAATAGGTTGGAAAATTAATGTACCAATAAATGGTACCTCATTTGTTCAACTCATTCATTAGTAAGCAAAAAGTTTCTGAGCAAAAATTGTGCTATCCAGACAGGAATGGGAATATTGAAAAACTTAGATGGAATAAATATAAATAAGGTATCATTGTAGTCTCCAAGCAAGATACCAAAAAGTGATTTAGAGTCATTAAATCTGAAATCCAGTACTTTCTTTTGAAAAATAAAAATAAACACTAAAATGAAAAGCCTTTTAGAGATAAATTATTAGGCATATATATGGCTATTTTGGAAGGAATTGGATACACAGCACTATATTAAATCTAGGTCTGAAAATAACATTCCATCTCCTCTTACAACTTTAATAAACCCATTCAGAGGTAGATGGTGATGCATAACTATATAAATACTCAAATTATAACAGTAAATTACGAAACAGATGTTCATACAGCATGGCATTTCAAGTAAGTACTTCCAAAGTCAGTCCACAGGCCAGCTATCTCCCCTTACCACCCTCTACCAAGTAGGTAGGAAAAACTGAAGGTCACATTTTGGGACACATAATACAGCTCTGTCTTGATGATAAAGAGGCATGTGTATACACATGATTAAATCGTTATTAAGGATTTTGTCTTTTTACTGTTTGCCTCATATCATATAAAATTTCACCTTCACTTACTTGTAAAAGTAAAAGAGATACAAGAACTACACTAAGAATCACAAACACATTCAGAAAAAAAACAGCTTCGGAGGTTAATCTATTTATTTGAATAAAGGGAAAACTATAACCTGCCCCCAACATTCAATTTCTGGGTCAATTATGTGTTAAATCTGAGTAACTAAAAGCAAGTTTAATAAATACAAATGAACAAAATCAGCCTCTAAGAATTTCAACATATTCAAACCCCACTCAGTGGTCTAGTCTGACAGAGTTGTTTCTACCTGAGATTTTACGAGCACTCTTGCAGGTACTAACACACCTACGGTGTGCTCAAACTTGTCAGAATGGTGAATAAAGAAAAGTACACACTGGGAAATGTTTTCACTAACGTTTCAATGCAAGATATTTTTTCTCACAAAGAGAAGTATAAACCTCAGCTTTCCTTAAGTTTCTGAAATCAGCACACATATTTTGTATTGTGTAAACATACATGCCATACAGATGAGCTTCTGTGAACTGTGACCCTGCAGCTTTTCTTCTTACTCAGGTAATAATTATTTCCAATTGTTTATGACTTTCCATGACCACAATTAGTAAACAGATTGTGACTCTCAGTGTAAATGGAACAGTAGTAGTAATTGTAGAACACCTATATTTTCCTGAAAAGTTCCTGGACTCTTCTTTTAGAAGAGATGGGATGTTTAGCATTGCAAATGTTACCTCACAATTCCTCTGATCTTGGGCAAGTTTAAACCCTTTCTTCCCATCACAGTAACAAGAATAACCTCCAGGGTAATTGACACAAAGCTGAGCACACAGGTTGTCAGAGCATTCATCCACATCTGGAGTAAAAGAGAACATAAGTCTTAGTATCTCCTAAATGCTCAATCTAGTAGAAGGAGTATTCTGATTTTAGTATGCGATATCAATGATAGTAGATCCTTAGTGAAAGAGATCTCTATATCAAATTACATTTAAACACTTGGCATGAAAATTTAAATGAGTCACAAGTGTAATTCCTATGTATTTACAAACCCGAAACCACAAATTTAATGTATAAATTCCATTAACAATTAACAAAAATATAACAAGTTTACTAATTTTCTGACTGTGAATTTGAAGGAAAAAAGACTAAACCTCAAGTTAGTTGTCATTTCTGATTATATCATTCCATTGAGACAACCTCCCAATTCTTTTCTTCAAAGAAAAGAAAGGGAAGGGAGAGAGGGGAGGAGGGGGAAGGGGGAAAGATAGATAGTGAAGAAAAGATTCCTTTTAACTGAAAGTCAATGTAGTTGAAGATTAAATAACAGTATCAAAACCACTTGACTGTTCATAATGTAATGATTAATGGTGGCAATAAATTTAAGGATATACCTTTTTCTTATCTTTAATAAAATAACAAAAACAAAAACCTCCCTATGCTATATTATCTCCCATATCATGAAATCTACATGGTTCCTGTTCCCACTCCATATTTTGAGAAAAATCATTCTTGAAAATTTGTAATAATAAGCTTCAGCTAAAGTCCTCTTCAGAGCTACTAGCCTTTTTCAATGAATGCACCCAATGAGATCTTTGAAAAGTCCCAAATTCATTGGTGCTATATAACACAAAATGCTTTAAAATAGAACCTCAAAATTAGTGAACCCTCAATACCATTAAAATTGAATGTTATATAATTAAATAAAATATTGTCATATAAATCATTTTTAAATGTCATTCACTGAATAGAACTACAATATCGATGATAAAGTTGGCTAATGTTCAATCTACAGATGCCTAGGGTTTACCACAGTAATTTCTATCTGGAGTGCTGGGAGAGGAGAAATGGTGTGCATGTGAAGGGCAGCGGGTGTTTCTGGTGAGTGCATGAAGGGGTAAGGCCTCAAAATCTCAAGAGGAGTATACATAAATGAAAGACTGTATTCTAAAATTATTATTATTAAGTTAGGCAAATTCATGGAGACAGAAAGTCAATTAGAGATGAACAGGGTTTGGAAGATGGAGAAAGAGCAATTACTGCTAATGGTTAGAGTTCTGTTTGGGATGGTGAAAAGTTTTAGAACAGATAATGGTAATGGTTACATGACTATGTAAAATATAATTAGTGCCACTGAACCATACATGTAAAAATGGTTAAAGAGCCACATTATATATCATATATAGTTTGCCACAATAGAAAAATTACTATTTATTTCATTAGTTTTAGTCATAGTATTAAATTTATTTTGAAATTTTAAAAAATTTAAAAGAGGGTGTGAGATACTTTGTATATATTCATGATGACAAAAATAATAATGCCCTAATACATACACCCAAGCTGCCTGAGGCATGCATGCAGCACCACTGCAGCCAAATGAATACCAAGTCCAAGGGCTTCCGCCCTCAACCACAGGTGCTGACAGTGCTAATCAGTGCTTCTCTCATTTCTAGAGCTGTTATCATTTGGTTATGATTTTATTTGTCTTTTATATGTATTTAATTATAATAGAACTTTACCATTTCCTATTTCACACCCAGAAAATCACAGTTGGTATAAAATTAAGGGTTTCTAACCACGCTTGTTGTAGGTAATGCCTACATGATTCCTTTTCTTTTTTTCCCACGTTTTTTTATTATTGTTCAAATATAGTTGTCTCCATTTTTAAGCTTGTCTTGTTGTATGTGTGTTATTCCTTCCAGCTTCAAATTTTTTTTCTTTGAATATTATTTAAATGATGTAAAAATGTGTGTATTTTGCTTTTCTCATACGTGTGGGGTCTCCAATCCATATTTAGTTTAGACAACCAATCAGAGCACATAACACTAAACCTAATGATCATGTGTTTTACAAATACTTTTACTCTGGAAGGAAGCCAATGATTACTCAACTGACTAAACTATAAGATGGATTTTACCACCTTAGAAAATCTGATTGTTGATGTCAAACAGAAACAACACTTCTAACATTAAATCAGGGTTCAAACCCACTCTCTGCACCATCAACAATGACACCACCACAACTCTACCTTCACAAGACTTTGATGTGGGATCGTATCTGTAACCTTCAGGACATTCACATTCAAAGTCTCCTGGGAAGTTCTTGCACACAGCTGTGCCACAAATGCCAGGCTTCACAGAGCATTCATCCACATCTATAAATGAAACCAATATGTTAAAGAACATTTTTCTCATATCAGAACATGCTAGCAAAGAACCCTTGATCTGTGTTTCCTGGACCTGGTTTAATATATGAAATAAGACAACAGAGTGGCCTGGGAATAACAAAATATTAAATCTATCACCATATTTTAGTTCACTAAATATATCTTTATTCAAATGCAAACAATCTGACTGATGTTTGCAATGTTCCTGTGTAGTTATGTAAAAGAAAAACAGGACTTTAGTTACTGTCTTATCTACCATGTTACAGTATTAAAATAAATAAGATAAGGGATTCACCATATTCTTGATATGTATTCCTAAATATACATTACTGAATTATGGTCTTAAAAGTATATTCTTTGTGTTATCACAAATATAAAAAATGAAAGTGAGCCAGCTTATCAGTCTTATGTTTTTTCCCTTGGAAATGGACAATGGCTAAATCTGCATACCATTATTGTTGCCTAAAATATTCAAGAATGATTCAAACTTAAAATGAGATTGGTGACTGTGGGGCAGGGGTTAGGGGGTTGGACTGGGCAAAGGAGAGCAAAGGGGGAAAATTGGGAAAACTGTAATAAAGTAAAAATTAAAAATAAAACAAAATAAAATAAGATTGAATAAGGTCTTAAAGTATTTACAAATCTGCAGTTAATCCAATACAAATTTTAGTGCTAAATTAATATTTCTGAAATTTTAGAAGCATTTACTGTATTATATAGTAGAGAAGGAGACAAAATATTGATTGCAATTAGTTACTAGATAAACACCTGTGAAAAAAATAAAAACAAATGACAGAAACAGTTCAATGGAGATCTAATTATAAGTGAACTTTCCTTATTTGTACTCTCTGAAGAAGGTCGTTAGATTGAAAAATGTATTTTTCTCCTCTAAAAAGTTGAGAGTTCAATTTTTCAACAGAATACTAGCCAAAATTTCAGACATTACCCTATTTAGAGTGACATGCACAAAAATAATAGAATCAATCCCTTGTGGTAAGGGAATTTGTCTGTATTTTGACTGTATTAGTGTCAGTATCCCAGATGTGATCATGTACTATAGTTTTGTAAAATGTTACCATTGGGAAAAACTGTGTAAAGCATATACAGGATCTCTTTTTATTATTTCTTACAACAGCATGTGAATCTACAGTTACCTCAAAATAAAATATTTAGTATTTTTAAAAGAAAATAAAAACATATGCCTAAATTATTTGGTCTGAGAAATACTGCAAGGAATTATTTAAGTCATATGAGTTGAGGTTATAGCCCATTGATTTTACGACTCTACAGTGACATCAAATGACTGATGAGAAGTTTTACTCTTGAATTTTTAGACATTTACTGGCAACCTGATCCAAGCATATTCACATGTTGACAAAGGCCTTACTATAATAGCTGCATACATATTCTTCTAATAGTTCTGTACTGTATTACTTAGCTATCATGGACAAAAATCTATGCAAATGAAGACCACAGGTTCTAATCATTGGGGACATTCTTATTTGTAAGTACTTTTTATAATAATTTACAAACACATGTATAAATTCAGTATATAAGGATTAAGTGCCTTTTAATTAAAAATGTAAATCACGAGCTTTTCAGGACAGACTAATTCAGTTTTTAAGCATAGATGTATGAGTGGGTATTATTTTTTTATGGCAGACATATGGTATCCTGCATTCTGATGTTTTTCTATAACAGGTGTTCTAATGACATTGGTGTTCTAAAATTTCTAACATGAAACAGACTTTCAAAAAGGTAACCAAGAAAGATGTATGGTCACAAATTAGGTATGTGCTTAGAAGAAATTATTAGTTAATATAGTTCACTTTAGTCATTTAAATGTGCTTTAAATAATATTATATATACTAAATTACACTATACTGAACACTACAGTGTAGTGAGGGACAGACCATTCCTTGACTATTTAATTTAGCAGAGTTATCAAAGTAGATAGAAATGGAGTTGAACAAGAAAATTTTACATTTTAATTTACTAATTTTTTAACCTTGTAGCAAGAAGAACAAGATGATGAGGAGGAGGAGGAAGAGATGGAGCAAATGGGGGAGAAGGAGAAGAAAAAGAAAGACAGGGAGGGAGGGAGGAAGAAAGAAGGAAAGAAGGAAGGAAGGAAGGAAGAAGAGAAAGAGAGGAGGGAGGGAGGGAAGAAGAGAGGAAGGAAGGAAAGGGAAGAAAGAAAACTTACTTCCAGTTTCTAAAGGCAAAATTTAAATTCAGGCGAGAAAATTTCAGTTTTAGTCATCCACACACCTAGCACTTACACCAAAACATTTAGTTATGGCAGTTAAAGCAGCCTAACGGAAAAGACATTATGCAGAAAGAAAAAGGTCAAAACTTGGGGAAAAGAGAAGCATAAAGAAAAAAAAATAAACTAGTAAAATGACTGTTAAGCTAAATTGACAGGAATTATTTAAGTCTGAAATTTTTAAAAATTAAGACTTATGAATAATAATGTGCTCTTATATGTATAAAAAGAAAATCAGTTCTTCATTCTTCCAAAACCACAACCAGAAATGAGGTGCAAGAGGAAGGCTTTATATTAGAAATTAGAAAGGTACTGACAAGGAAATATAAACTACAATAAAAGAAGTTACTAACGATTGTGCTGAATTTCCTTGTATAGTTGTTTATCTTATTGAAATAAAGGAACTAATAATATAGAGTCTGAAAAAGAAAGTATAAACAACCATTTTTCAAACACTGTAGTATGCAAGAACTTGCACTGAAACTTCACTTTATCACCATATAATGAAATTCTTAAGCCCTGGCTGGCATAGCTCAGTGGATTGAGCGCGGGCTGGGAACCAAAGTGTCCCAGGTTCGATTCCCAGCCAGGGTACATGCCTGGGTTGCAGGCCATAACCCCCAGCAACCGCACATTGAAGTTTCTCTGTCTCTCTCTCTCTCTCTATCTCCCTCCCTTCCCTCTCTAAAAATAAATAAATAAAATCTTAAAAAAAAAAAGAAATTCTTTATTAAAATGTAACCACATGTGTGTACACACATATACACACAAGAAAACAATATAAATCACAAACTATAAGAAAACAATAAAATATAAATGAGAAAATTCCCTATAAATAATAAACTAAAAGGTAGTCCCATAATATTACAATGCTTCAAGTAGATAATAATGTATATTTATTATAACAGCTTATAACCAGAGAGTTTTACAAGAATTTCCTGTGGAAATTTCTTTAACTAAATTTTACTCTCACATGGTGAGTACCTTCGTATTCTACCCTCCTGCTCTTACCTTTGCAGTCCTTTTTATTTGAAAGTAGAACAAAACCAGGTTTACAGGAGCAGTGGTAACTTCCACGTGTATTAACACAAATCTGAGTACAACCTCCATTTGTGTTTGAGGGATTTCTGCATTCATTTATATCTGAAAAGGGGAAAATAAATTATTTTTTAAAGTGATAAAGCCTTAAAAAACTTTTCAGGAGGGCAGTCCAGATAAGCCAGATGGGTTTATTATGACACATACCCGATTCACACTTCTGTCCTTGCCAACCAGATTTACAAATGCAAGTGAATGCACCTCTGCCATCTTTGCAGTTCACATATCCATCTTCATTGCATGGCAGAGGCTCACACTGGTTTGGAATGGCTAAAGGAAACAGACATCTATTTAATTTTTACCATAAGCCATGTGAGATAAAATTATATGCTCTTTAATAGAAATCTTGTGTATAAATCTATAATAAACCAAAAATATTGTAACTCCTTCCTTCATGTAATACTTCTTCATAGAGTAATGAATCCAAGAGATAAATCTTTATTATTTTCAAAAGGAAACTATTTTTATATTTGTAAATATGTACATTATTTTAGAACTGTAATTTAGATATTTTCATATATATTACCTTATTTGACCCTCAAACCAATTCTATGAGATATGCAGAACAAAAGTACTCTCAATATCAATAGGAAAAAAAACGCGGACTTCCAATGTAGGCTAAAATGGAGTAACAGGGGCCAGATTTATCCCCCTGCATTAACTACATAGAACTCTGGTCAAAATACATGAAACAATGGTTTTTGGACATTAAACAACAGGTAACAGAGTACTGTAATTCTTAGGGGTGGGGCATAATCATCATAAAATGTTAGAGCACTTTATCACTATCTTAAATGATATGCCCATTTGTTTCTTTACTCATTTGTGGTTTCTCTCTCCTCACCAGACACTGCAATGGTCCCTTGGTTCCTGCACATTTCCATACTTGCTTCTCAAGCCCTACTAGTCAGCTCTGGGTGTTCCTTCCATTCTGCCAATACAGACCCCTCTGCTTAAGTTAGCTAAAAAAAAAACTTGTTACTTGCAAAGAAAAAAAATTTTTTAACCTAGTTGAAACTTAATTACTGAATTTTTTTAAAAAATGTTTTTATAAGTTCACAGTTTTTTGGAAATGTAGTAATAAATTAGGTATTAGTTAAAATGATAGAAAAGGTAATCAGGGAATTGTTATCAAATTATTTCCCTGTGCTTTGGTACACTGAAAAAAGATTAACTGTGAATTAAATATATGTGTTCAAACAGTTTTATGTATGTAAAACTTACTTTAAATTAGAGAACATCTAATGTACTGGGTACATCCCAATTTACATCTTGAAATTTCACCTTTTTCTCTTTGACTCCCAGTTGGGAAACTGGTAAATCAGAGACAGATAATGTACTAGACCCTATGTGAACTTCAGAGGGAGAAGACTAATTTGGTATCATAACATTTTCTACATTTATGTTCTTGATACCAGAACTCAGAATAATAAACATGGCTCCATTTTTATCTGTTATTTAACTATAACATTTGGTCATACTACATGATTATGCAACAACAGCCAAAATATAGCTGCTGGGTATAAAATTCTGATGTCAGTGATTTAAGCTTAGTAAACAAGGCACACTATTCAATTTAAACATTAGGTGGAAATCATTATGCCTAAAACAGCAGCATTTATACAACAAAAACATTTTTTAAATGCATTTTGAAAATAACTCCTTTTTGGGCATAACCTTCAAGGGTCCATTTGTTAATTTTTAAACATTGTATTTTCATGGGTGTGCTTTACATGCAAGTTTTTGTTTGGTTTGGTTTTTAAATTGACTGCAGTGATGGTTACCATTGACACAGCTCCTCAGGTCAGTGTAAGCATTACTTGACTGACGTGCAGTAGTGAATAACCCAGCTCGGAAAGAGCCAAGACAACCTGTAAATACAAACAAATGTAATTTTGTTAGAGTAGACTTGCTTACTTGATCTGAAATCATGGCAGAAATTATGATCCTGTGGATTTACAGGATTCAGCATTCAAAAACAAGATTGCAAAAATACAGAATTATGAAAAATAGGTTTATGGAAGCTTTTCTTTGGAGAAGAACCTTAAAGCCAGAGGCAAAAAAGATCCTGAATTGGCAAAGAAATTTATTGTCACAAATCTATGTTCTTAATTCTGTAGCAGAGACCTACATTTATCCTCAAATCTGTAGACCAGAGTCTGATATAAAAAATGTCTGTAATTAAATCAATAGAAATAGTGTTTCTGGTTGCTGTAGACAACTTCCAATTCTTCCAATGTTGCATAGAGACTAACACAATATTTGCATAATGCCTCTATATTACAAAGCAAAACAGGTTTACCGTATTCAGTTTATTCTTCACTCCAACATTTTGAAATTAGATATGGCAATCTGGCAGAAATAACTATTGAAATAATAGAGAAAAATACTTACAGTCTTTAAAGTAATTAGGAAAAAAACGAACAACCCAATTAAACAATGGGCAAAGGATCTGAATAGACACTTCTCCAAAAAGGACATACAGATGGCCAATAGACATATGAAAAGATACTCAATGTCACTAATTATCAAAGAAACTCAAATTAAAACTACAAAAAAGATATTATCTCACACATGTCAGAATGGCTATCATCAATAAATCAACAAACAACAAGTGCTGGCAAGGATGTGGAGGAAGGGGAACCCTTTTGCACTGTTGGTGGGAATGCAGACTGGTGCAGCCACTGTGAAAAGCAGTGTGGAGATACCTCAAAAAATTAAAAATGGACCTGCTTTTTGACCCAGCAATCCCACTTTTGGGAATAACTCCAAAGAAGCCCAACACACTAATTTGAAGAACATAAGCACCCCTATGTTCACTGCAGCATTATTTACAATCACCAAGATATGGTAGCATCCCAAATGGCCATCAGTATGTGAGGGAATAAAACAACTATGGGACATTTACACAATGGAATACTCCTTGGCTGTAATAAAGGAGAAAATTTTACCCTTTGCAACAGTATGGATGGACCTGGAGAACATTATGCTAGGTGAAATATGCACTGACCCCAGACCATTGTTTATGTCCGTGGTTCAGGCATGCAAATTCTTTGGCTACTCACTTCCTATACTGTATTTTACATCCTCATGGCTATTCTGTAACTACCTATTTATACTTCTGAATCCTCTCACCTCTTCACCCATTCCCCCACATCCCCCTATCTGGCAACCATCAAAATGCTCTTCATATTCATGATTCATCTCTGCTGTTTTGTTTGCTTACTTTGTTTTTTAGATTCCATTGTTAATAGATATGTATTTATTGCCATTTTTTTGTTCATAGTCTTGATCTTCTTTTTCTTCAATAAGTCCTTTTAACATTTCATATAAGTTTGGTGATGATGAACTTTAGTTTTTTCATCTGGGAAGCTCTTTATCGGCCCTTTGATTCTAAATGATAGTTTTGGGGGTAGAGCAATCTTGGCTGTAGGTCTGTTTTTCATGACTTTGAATATTTCCTGCCAATCCCTTCTAGCCTACAAAGTTTCTTTTGAGAAATCAGCTGACAGTCTTATGGGAACTCCCCTGTAGGTAACTAACTGCTTTTCTCTTGCTGCCTTTAAGAGTCTCCCATTATCTTTAAACATTGTCATTTTAATTATGATGTGTCTTGAAGTGGGCCTCTTTGCATTCATATTGTGTGGGACTCTCTGTGCTTCCTAGACTTATGTGTCTATTTCCTTCACCAAATTGGGGAAGTTTTCTTTCATTACTTTTTCAAAGAGTTCAAATTTCTTGCTCTCTCCTCTTTCTGGCACACCTATGATGCAAATGTGGGAATTCTTAAAGTTTTCCCACACACTGCTTACACTACTCTCACTTTTTTGGATTTTTTTTTTTGTGCGTATGATTCCGATTTTTTTTTCTTCCTTATGTTCCAAATCATTGATCTGAGTCTTGGCTTCATCTATTCTACCATTGTTTCCCTGTACATCATTCTTTATTTCAATTAGTGTGTCCTTGGTTTATGACTGGATCTTTTTTATGCTGTTGAGGTCCTAAGTAAGTTCCTTGAATATCCTTATAACTAGTATTTTGAACTCTGCATCTGATAGATTGCTTATCTCCATTTTGTTTAGTGCTTTTTTCTGGAATTTTGATCTGTTGTCTCACTTGAGCTATGTTTCCTTGTCTTTTCATTTTGGCAGCCTCCCTGAGTTTGTTTCTATATATTAGGTAGAGCTGCTATGACCCCCTCCCTTGGAAGCATGGCCTAATGTACCAGGTGTCCTACAAGGTCCAGCAGCACAACCTCCCCTATCACTCAAGCTGGGTACTCAAGGTACACCCTTCATGTGGGCTGAGAACACCCTCCTTTTGTAGTTGAGGCTTGATTGCTGTTGGCAAGTCAATGGAGGGATTTACCCAGGCCAGTCAGCTGCAAGGAATGGCTATGACCACTGACCACAAAACTCTACCCTCCATGGAGGATCAGCTATTCAAAGGCAGGGTGTTCCCACATAGTCTGTAGCTGTCCACTGGGTGTGCAGGTTCTAGGGTTTCCTGGGTGGGGCAGGCTAAGGTCATCCCCCACTTGTGTTCTGCCTATGGCCAACCTGCATGAGCTATAAAGCAATCTGAGATGGCTGCTACTTGTGATGGGCTTGGAGATTCCCAGTGGAAGCCAACTATGAATCTAAGCTGACTGCTGTTAGTACTTGGCCTGCGGTCACTTAGCTATTACCAGTTTGATATTATTTAGGAAGTTGTGAAACATGAACCAACTATTAACTATGACTTTTCCAGCCATTCATATGGAAAAGTCACAGTTAACAGTTTGGATGGCCCTGTAAGTTGGGTGGGACAGAGTCTCAAGGGATCTCCAGGGTTGGGCGAACAGTGTTAGCCAGGTTGATGTAGTCTCCGATATGGCACCCATCTGTAGACTGTGTGGCTCCATGCGGGGAGGGTTCAGAAAACTGATAATGGCCTCTGTCTGCCTTTCAGTCTGGGAGAAAGCTGTCCCCCAGCTCACTTCAGTCCCTCCCTTTGCCACTGCTGCCTTTCAAGCTGCTACCCTGGCAATGCTCAAGCTCAGAGGGAGTGTGTCTGTGTAAATTCACATGTGGGTTTTTTTAGGGGAATTTGTGGGACTCCAGGAGTTTTTCCCACTGACTCAATCCCCATGGATTTTTGTACTAGAACCCTAAGCTGGAGGGTCTGGTGTGGGGCTGAGAGTCCTCACTCCCAAAATATCCCTCCCAAATTTTTATCCATCACACATGGATGTGATACTATCCCATTCCATGATCTGCCTCTCCTACCAGGCTGGATGGATGTAGTTTCTTAGATATTCCACAGTTGTCATATTTCTATTCAACTAGATTTCTGCCAGTTGTGGGTGATGGTTGTTCTATATTTTGGCTGTAATTTTCATGTAGTTGTGAGAGGCCACGAGCCTTGCTTACCTATGCTGCCATCTTGCAGCCCTTTCTTTTTCAATGACAGAAGGTGCCATCACATGAAAGTCTAAATGTTTGCTTATTTTAATTTCAGAAGTGGAAGACTGAGTTATTCATACTCCTCTCTTGATACATTACTATTACTTATCTCTTTAAAGCCTGTTGCTTGATGCTTTTAAAAAATATGTCTTTTTATTTCCATTTCCATCCCCATTTACCACTTATGCAACTATTCTAATGAGTTAATGTGTATTTTATTTGTATGTGTTCTTATAAAACATGTATTTGTAACTTTGTGTCTGTGAATTTTCATTTCTGTAAATGGTTGTATATTATAAATCATGTTCTCTGACATTCCTTATTTAGCATTGTATTCATATGACCTATTCATGCTACAACATATAATTTACTGTTTCTAACTATTAAACATTACTCATGGCATGCAATCACCATTTAAAAAATCCTTGCTACCTGCAATACTCAGATTGCTTCCAATTTCCCCTCTATAAAAGCAGCACTGCAATGAGTATCTTCATGCATGTCTCATTATTACTTCATAAACAATTTCTTTGGAATAGGTTCTGAGGAGTTTCTGGAATTGTAGCATCATTCAGTAGGCATAAACTTAGTGGCTAGGTGCATTCTCTCAAGCAGTGCATATGAATTTCTATATCCTGTCCTAGCCAGTATGGCTCAGTATGTTGGAGCACTGTCTCACAAACCAGGAGGTCATGGGTTCAATTCCCAGTCAGAGCACATATTTAGTTTGAGGGTTCAGTTCCCAGTTGGACTGAGTACAAGAGGCAACTAATCAATGTTTCTCACTTGCCTATGAGAGGCAACCAGTCAATGTTTCTCTCTCACATTGATGTCTCTCCCTCTCTCTAAGATAAGTCAGCATATCCTCAGGTAAAGATAAAATAAAAAGAATTTCCATATCCTGGCTTTTTAATTGTTGCAGAATAGGTAATAAAGTGACATCTCATTGTTTTTCTGATTTCCAGTGAGATGGAGCATAACTTCATGTCATTTTAAAATATTTTGGGTTTCCTCTCTGAATATTTTATTATTTTGTAACCGCTTTTCTACTGGCACTTATTTATTGTCTATGTGGGTTCGCAGAAATTTAAAAATGTTTATAAATATCAGTTCATTCTCTCATCTGTCTCCTTCTTAAAAATATATTTACTGTTTTGTGAGAGAGAAGAAGGGAGGACAGAGAAAAACATCAGCATCAGATAGAAACATCAATTGGCTGCCTCCTGTATGTGCCCCTTAAAGAATCAAACCCACATCCTAGGAATGTGCTCTGATCGGAATTGAACCCCCAACCTTCTGATGTAGGGGACAGTACTCCATCTGAGCTCAGTTGGTACAACTAAGCCACACCAGCCAGGGCTTTTTATCTGTCTCTTAACCTTATTTTTATATCTGTTTTTTAAGAGAAGTTCTTAATTTTGTGTAAT